CGCCATGTGTGAGATGGGACACGCGTCGGTGAATGGGCCGATGGTGTGTTGTCCTTTAACCTGTATCCAGCTGTCACATTCACAGTCCCCACCTGCATATACGCATATCGGAGGATATATATTTGAACAGTTCATTTTGGGTTGGACCGATGGTTTTTAGGTTGGAGACTAACGTGAAAGTCCAAGTAGAATTATATAGACCGATTGTAAAACTTGATCAAATATTGATACGATCCAATAATATTCCATTCATTAGTTTTCCACTCATTATAATTATTTCATTTATCCCTTCGCTGACAATGAATTAATGTTATCTTTTACTTGAAAGTATGTTTGAACATTGTTTCACAAGTTTTATCTTTGATTGATTTTTATTCGTATACTTTATTGAAATTGTTAAATATTTATTAGAAAGTCAAACAAAATCAAAAACAAAAAGATAAACGGCCGACACAAAAAGAAGAAGAAGATAAACTGCAAAAAAAAAATTGATATATTTTCTTGTCGTCGCTATAAAAGTTGAGATTTAATTCCACTTTTTAATCAAATACTAGTTTTTATTCATGTCATAGGTTCATTTTATGGACTACATGCATGATTTTGAGAAAAAAAATGTATTTAACTTCCACATTCTTCGTCGCTTTTCTTCATCGTATTAAAATTGGATGTATAGTTAGAACATACTTTGGGCTATTTTTCTACAAACAAATCTCAGTTTACAACTAGCCATTGAATTTTAACTCTTATGTCTGTCTGCCAGAAAAACACTTGACATTCGCTAACTGTTAAGGATTTACAATGTTAATACGTTCACTTACATAGTTACATAGGCATCTGGATAATTTGGTTCGATATATTGATACAGTTTGGTTTTAGATAAACATAGAAATCAAAATATTGGTTATGCTGCTGCCAATAATGATATGTTGCTCCATGTCTTTTGTATGTGTGAACAATGACTACAAGATATAGAAGCAGAATCAAAGAGATTGCCTCCCAAGTATACACAGTCTAACACTTGCACCTACACGTTACATATAACATACTTTTATTACTTTATTTATTCCAAATTGAAAGATGATTTAACTCATTAAACAACATTGATAATTAGCTTCCTAATTATTATTTTTATTTCTTAGTCCAATCATGTATTTTTTGCTCTGGCTTACCATTTTCCGACAAGTAAATACCATCGTCTTTGGCAATCCAAATGTACGATTCACCACATTTACGAACAAACCCTCCTGTATATGCCCTAAAGCTTTGAAAATACTCCATTTTAGGCCCTTGTCGTAGGTCACAATCCCATTTTGTCCTAATGAATACGTTGTCGCCGAACCTAATACTGAATGCAGGACCATTGAAGTTTACATAGTGGATGCCTAGATCGTTGTCTTTAGATTTGCAATGGACTTCGAGAGTGCTACGGCTTGAAGCTAAGTTGTTTTGAAAAGCTACGGTATTCTTATCACACCCAGCTTCGCTCAATCTAGCAAACAATGTAACAAATAACATAAAAACAAAAGAACAACTACTCATTTTTGTCTCTCTAGCTTTTTTTTTTGATAAAAAAAACTATAATATGGAGGAATATGAATCTAAAAGCATCGGGGTGTACTTATTTATGATTTGATGACTGTCTTTGTATTTTCTTTTAATAAACTATCTCATGGTTTGGTTTAACTTCTTCCATTTGACCAATTTTTTTTTCCCATTTCTTCCTTTTGACCAAAAAGAAATTTCCAGTTCTTCTTCTTTTTAGTTCGTGAATTTTGTAAGAGAAACAGACCGAATCTGGCTTTTAGGAATCCCAAAGAATTATTATAGAAAACAAAAAAATCTTGTTTTTGACCACTTATTATTTATCTACATTTAACTTTTAAAGTATTAAAAAATTGATCCAACGAAATTAACTTGTAATCCAGTAGTTTGTATCTCTTAAATATTAAAACAAAAATACATTTAAGAAAATTAAATACCCAAAGCTACCGTGACATATTACATAAAATGTCATTAGAGAAGAAATATTCAAAGAACAAAGAAAAAAAAAAATCATTAAAGGTAATAACAATTAAACTCATAATCCTACACCCAAACAAGAGAAATAGGTTTTCTCATACTATATATCCATGTATGATGTAACCAAACATACATTATTTAAAAAAAAACATAATTAATTTTTAATGGCCAATCAAATTGAAGAAATAAAATTTAATATCCAATTACAATAATAATAATCCGTTTTAATCATTATACCACATTCATTTTAGTACGA